AAATAGTTTTAAGAAATACCTTTTGTTACTTTTTTTAAATAAATTTTTTGTTATTAATTTGTTATCTTATATGGCATTTTCCTTTTCTGACATCAGTGCAAAATTTTAATCAAGCTTTTAATCTAACCAATTCTTGCATTATTTATTTTTAATGATTATTTTTCTGATTAATAAACTGATTATAATCAAAGAACAAGATGAAACCCAAGTCAAATGAATCGATTTATTTATGCATTGAATCTCACTTGAAATAAATACCAGATCAAAACCGGTCCGCGAAACGAGTTCTAATACTTTCTTTAGATTTTTTTTAATGAAAGTGAAATTACGTCAATGAATCAAATTTTACCTGATAAATTAGTTTATGATTTCTCTTCAAAAAAACTCTTTTTAAATTCAGTTGCCATGGATTACTTTGTGCAAATTTATGACTCCTTATTCATGACCTTTAAATAATGCATTTTTTTTTTGTTTTAATTTTACCTATGTACATTTGAAATTTATGCTTTGTTTTTGGCAATGATGACTTCCAATTAAACAACAATTGAATTTATTTGTTGTATTTCCGAATTACATGTTTACATGATAACGTTTCGGAATATTTAACTATCTTCAGAACTACAATCCCACGGTTTTTTTGTTGATTAATGGCTTAAATCTAATGTGCTCCATTGTCAGGTTCTAAATTCATGTTATAATAAATTAAAGTATATAATATTCAGATCATCATCATGCGTTTAGACCAATTGTGTTTGTTTAGCACATCACAGCATAAAATTGCAACATAAATTCAACTTCAATAAACCACAAGTATTACGCACAGAACCAAAAAACAAGAATAGAAAATTACTTGAAGCTATACACATCACAAAAACAATAGAAGAACAGTCAATTATAAAACAGACACTAAACATTTAGGAACTCAATACACGGACTTATTAAACAAAATTAAAATTTAATAAAAATGAAATTGCAGCTGCATAAAAAATAAACATTTAAAAACAATTGTAAAAAAATAAACAGTCATATCCAAAGGTCAATTGAATTCACCATGGCAGACACCCAATAATTGTTCTAAAAGCATGATGATGCTCGCAAATGATTTTAGGAATTTATTTAATTTAAAAATTTGATCTTATTTTTTGTCCTAATTTTTAAATACTCTATACTTTTTTTTGTCTTTGCCTTTTAGGCTAAGCAGGGTTTTCCCGGGACAAGGGGTGAAGACGGGGGGATTAATGCTAGAGTTAAAAGCACCTCCCCTCCCCTCGGCACCTAGACTGGAACGTAACTATTTTGTGAAATTATCTTTGATATGGTTGCCGGGCAACCTCCTATTGTCCCAAAGATACCCTATACTTGAAAGTTTTTAATAAATATGAAATTGTTTTCTTTAACACTTTTCTCTCTGAAACTACAAGATATTCTTCTGTTATCTCACAAAAACTAAAAAAACATTGTGGTTTTATTACACTTTTATTGATTTCATTTCCATAATTCATATTTTAGTACAATGTGAAAAATTGTAGGGGTCCATTTCTTAATATAATACATCATTACTTATACGATTAAAAGAAGCTATAGCAAAAGAACACCATGTCTAAATCATTACGTTTTTTTTTTTACCAGATATAAATTATTGTGTCAGCGGCTAAGGAATTTCGACACAAATTTGCCTCAAAAACTTATCAAAAAGGTTCATGGGAAGACAATGAAGCGAAACATTATTGAAATCGATTCATAAGAAATGTAATGGCTATGATAATACTCTTGCTCAAACAGTTATTAAAGGGATTACATGATCCAGCTTCATAACTCTCCACGGATTGCCACATAATCGATCTAACAGAATCCCTCAATGAAAGAAGCGTTGAATCGATATGAAGCGTTCGCTATCGATTAATCGGTAGTTCACGTAGTTTTGTCGATGAAACGTTATATTACACAGGAAGATGTGCAGGTTTCAGTCTTTATTAATTTAATCTTGATTTTATTCATTTTTTATGTTGAGCAATTTAGCATATTTCTTTTGTTCTCAGAAATAAGCCATTTTAATAATAAATGCTAATACATTTAAAAGATTTTAGCCATTCATCTATCTAATACTGATTTTCTTCCGTCCTTTTTATTTTTTTATGATTAAAAAATTTTATTTAATTTTTTTTCATATGGGACATTTAATTGTAGGTCTAATGTATAAGGATAGGTTTCAAAACAAATCAAAATCATAGATAAACTTTAAGCCTCCTAGATAATGATTGCGATGGCGGTGATATATTGATATAATAATAATAATAATAATACTTTATTCATTCTAGGACGAGTTTCTTTAGAATAATACAGAAAGACTTAAATGTGGGCTATGGTGCCACAGAGATACATAAAAAATAATCGCAAAGTAAATAAATAATCATAATAAAAAAGCATAAGTTGCTTTCTAACTACTTTAATCAGTTCATGATAAAAAATAAATGAAAAAACATAAAGTAAAACTAAAATTGTAACGTAATTGGTAATTGGTTGACTGTCGTGGATAATGAAGAGAAGAATAGTTGGGGTGTTCAGTCAAAAAGGAAGGCAAAAATAAATTATAATATTTATTTTTTACATATGCCGACGTTTCGACCTGAAGTTCAGGCCTTCATCAGGGCTGTCTCCTTAAGTGTCGTAGGGAGAATCAAGATTTCATTCTCCCTACGACACTTAAGGAGACAGCCCTGATGAAGGCCTGAACTTCAGGTTGAAACGTCGGCATATGTAAAAAATAAATATTATAATTTATTTTTGCCTTCCTTTTTGACTATTCTTCTCTTCTTTAAAATTGTATAAGTTATATACATATTTACATAAAGGTGAGGATCGGATAATGAACGATCTACCGAAAGCAGCGGTTCGGTGGGCCATTAACTATAAATCTGAAGACCGGAAACGGGTATGGACAGAGGATTTAAAATGAAGGAGCTCGGAGATGTATGAAGGACGGGAGGGTTGGATGACTTGGACGAGGAAGGGTGCCAGGAAATAATAACCACGGTAAGAAAGATGAAACCTCTTCAACTCTTCATAAAAATGGGAAACAGAGGCGTCTCCTGGGATCCCGAAGATGTATATATATATATATATATATATATATATATATATATATATATATATATATATATATATATATAATATATATATATATATATATATATATATATATATATATATTTGTATTATTATCTATTGACACACAGAGCGCGATGATCCGCAGCTATTATTAGGCGACAAAGCGTATCACATAGTTATCATGAATTTATTTTTTAACATTTTGGATTCTTTTACTTTATTTCAATCGCCTGTACGAAATTCATTACTTGATTGTTACTTAAATAATATAATGTGCCACATAATATGTAATCGTTAGGCAGATGCGGAATACAGTGTTTTACTTAAGTTGCTCGTCATTACCCATGCCATCTTAGTACGGCAATCAAACCATCTACTACTACAAAAAAAAGTGCCCAGAAGGAGCTGGCTGGCATGGCTCAAGTTGCAAGATCTTTGGGGAGTTGAAAATTTTTTAAATAAACTATATTTGTGTGGGCTCTCGTTTTAAGAAAACTTATGGACCATGGAACCAAGCTTGACTTTTCCACTCTTGTTAAAATAGGTTTGATTGAATCTTTGGAGTAACAACCCTTATGCCGTAAATGGAGAGGTAGATATAATTAGAAAAAAAAAAACAATATATGCCTTCCATTCACCAACAGATCGGGTTCAGCGAAATCCTAATTTATTTGCATCCTAAATAGATTTATTCTACGATTCGTGGCCTTGGTTTAAGAACAGTTTAACTTACAAATTTTACAAGACTGCCCTACTCTGAAAAATATAAGGAAAAATTTGGACATTGCACCAAAAATCTATCAGAAAATTTAAAAGACAACGAAGAAGCTATTCAAAAACATTATCATTCCTAAAAGCGACGAAAATGTATAATATAATTTAACTTAATGGTGTTGTCAATGACCCTGAAAAGTGGAATAAATAAATAAATAAACTAACAAACTAAAATATTAAATTATCGAAGAGTCGTTATTGGTAGTCAATAATATCGATGGTAAAATATCGTATATTAGAACGAAATATCGATATTTCGACAATATCGACTATCAATGACTATTTCCAGTATGTGCCATAGCCCTCGGATGAACGATGGGTACCCCTGGCAAAATCCAAGCCATATTAACTTGTCACCCACAGCACAATTTTAGTTCCTTGCAAGCAATAAATTATACAGTAAGTAGTCAACATAAACTAAATATATCAAACTGGAATTAAATTAAGAATATTTATAAACTCTTATATTTAGTTTTTTGGAAAAGCTAGGTTTCGAAAGAAATGAAATACAGAGTATGGCGGAGTCCATTATTTTGAACTCACTGGGAATCCCGAAACATCACCTCTGTTAAGTGTGGCCATTGCTTTATGGATGCGAGTGACAGAATTGAGAAGAATGAGGGCGAGAAAATATAGAAAATAACAAATGCCATTTTTATATACAAAGTGTATCAAGCTGAATTTTTAAATATTGCCTACTACATAAATTAGTATCCTGTGTCAGTTAGCAACTCACAGTTGAGCAGCATTACAATTTTATTGTAGTTATATTTAATAAAATCAAAATTATCAATTTGGTCTAAGATTAAATAAGAGAAACTTAGGACAGATTAAAAATAATTTATCAAAGTGAAAAAAAGAAAGAAAAATACTTTAAAAGAGATCATCAGGAAATTATCATTTTAAGATTAAATAATGACTGAAGGTAGCGCTAAAAATTAATTTTAAAAAAGGTATAAAACCACCGGGTTTATTGTAAAACTTCTCCATAAAACTTTAGTGTGAGTTGTGTCATAAATATTGTTACAAGTAAATATATACAGATTTCAACAGAAAAATTATATTTTTTTAAAACTTTGTTAGAAAATAAAATTTATATCTATAGAGTAAAAAAAAATATATGACTCAAAATGTCCCCCTTTTCCCATGACAAAGGCATTTAACATCCGTGGTTAGTCATCAATAGCAGCACGCAGCACTTCTTGAGCGAAACGCTCAACTGCTCGACCAGAGATTGTTTGAGGTTTTCCAAATTAGGGTGTGACATGCCATCCTCTCCAGTTCGGACCAAAGCCGATAATCTAGTGGAATGATATCGGGGCTGCCTGAGGGCCAATCCGAGGCAGAGATGAACTCTAGAATGTTCTTTTGCAGCCACTGCTGAGTTGACCTGGCCTTGTGAGCTGGAGCGGAATCCTGCTGGAAAACCCAATGACTTCCAGCAAACAGAATATCATTTAGAGACTTGACAACAGGTTCCAAAATATCAACCTGATAGATTTTAGCGGCTGTTTTAACTCCTTTTTCACAAAAGTGTAGCTTTGACGTGCCATCAAAGAAAATTCTCCACCCCCACTAAATCATCACTGAGGAAGGGTGATGACATCTTTTCATTCATCCAATGACTTCCTGGGCTTCTTTATTGCTGTGCGCGCATACACGATCATCACGAGACATTGATCTGACAGAGATTCCCATTTCCCGAGACATGATTTGTTGTTTCCGAATGAGACTTTTCTGATTCGAGCAGCCACTGCTCTCACTGCATTTACCGTTCTCACAGTGCGGGGATGGCCCGGTCGAGATCTGTCGCATACATATAGGGCCTCATTATATATATATTTATAATACGGTGCACGAGCAAAAGGCTGATACCCAAAGGTTTCAAAGTGTTGAAAATCTCTGATCTACATTTTCCAACTTTATGTAAGGAGATCACAGCTATTCGGTTTTCTTTGTCACCCCACTCCATGTTAACTGAGCGAAAGAAAAGTACAAAATAATTGGGATTATTATCCTGACATGTAAATAAAACAACCTGATAGAGGTAAGGATTATCTAAATAATATCCAAGGATATAAACAAAGCTCAAATTTTCTAACAGTATTTATTGGAGAAGTAGACATTTCGAGAAACATAGCCATTTTTATCAAACTAATAACATCCATCTAAAACTACGTGAAACAACTTTTTATTTACGAAAAATCTCAGAAATGGGGCGTTTTCAATTTGGGGATCGGTAAACTTTGGCTATGTAATAAGTTCCTAAAAACTAATGAACACCCATTCATTTTCCAGTTAAATTGTGAGATAATTTGATCTCTAAATCGAGAAAAAAAAGGTGGCCTGCAAAAGTATTGGGCTGTTTGGCGTGATCTCTACCCTAAATATGTCAAATTAACGAGATTGTGAGGACAAACGGCCTAATATATTTGTAGGCCATCTTTTTTTCGTGTTTGTGATAAAATTATGTTAGGATTGAATCGGAAATTAAAATTATTGATGATTTTTCAGTACCTCATTAATTAATTAATTTAACAAGAAAACGCACCATTTTTGAGAATATTTTTAAATAAAAATGTTTTTGATTACGATAAGATGAAGCCATTTTGGACTAATGTTAATAATTTAATGAAAAGGCCGCGGAGTATAATAAGTTCAATTAGAAAAAAAAAATGTAACTTAGTTTATCTTGCTGTATTCGTAACATATTTTAAATCATGAATAGGGTAGTTGACAATAATTTTATTTTTTAGCTGCTATGTATTAACGCACAGAACTGTAGAGTTCTGCTAAAAACTCCAACATTAAAAAAATTCCTGTCATTCCAGGCCAAAGTGTTGTGAAGAATACTTAACGCACCGTTTTATTGTCGCAAATGATAAAGACTTAAAACTTCAGACTTAAACATCCCAAAAATTGTAGACACTGCAAATGTTAACTACATTAAAGAAATTTGCAGATCGCAAAATTTATTTGACGTTCGACTTTATATTTGGTTAATAAATAAATAAGTTGCCTAAATGACAATAAGTTTTAAGTTTTGGAAACGGGGTAGAATATACAGCACCATCAATACTGAATTGTTATGTGGGTTTAGAGAACGGTCCTACGGATATCCACCTAAATGCACACGCAACTTACGTAATCTTTTTATTATATAGAAAAAATATTTATTTTTCTCGTGTAGATGGTTTATAAACTCTTCAATTTTCAACTCATTTTTCAGAATCAGATTAAAAGTAAAAGAACTATAACATCGATATACGATAATCTACAGTTAGAATATTTTTAATTTAATAATAATAAAATATTGCTTTATTTATTTATAAGAAAATAATGTGAAAATGGAGGTGTCTACATAAAAAGTGATAAAATAGTTACATATCTACTTATAGACCTTAGCTCAGACAGTTAGTCGACTTTTCTTATTTTCTTAATTTACTAAAAAAAAAAATATATATTTAGAAAATAAATAATAATTAATTAAGAAATTAATGAATTAATAATTAAGAAAAATAAATCTTAATTTATTTAAAAAAATTCATTCATGTAGCTTATTTGTTATCAATTTTTATTTTTGTCTCTCACTACCGAAGGTAGAGAAGAATTGTATTCGTGCGAGATTAAAAAAAAAAAAAATGATATGCCAGAATCGAAAATTTCCACTCGCGTTTTACGTTTCAGACATCAAGGATCAAATTTGGTTCGATGTCTGTCTGTCTGTAGTCATTTCGATGTAACGGTCATATCATCTACCGCTTATCCGATTTTTTGAAATTTTCAGGAATTGTCGTGTTGATTTCTAGATGGTCCCATATCAATTTCATTAAATTGCAACCAGCACTTTCGCTTACGCTCTCGCAAACGCATTTTTGTAAATATGTCAATATTTCAGAAATGGCTCGTTCGATTTGGCTCAAAGTTGGATAAAAAATAGTATTTGTGAAACAATAATGTAGGATCAATTTAATTGAATTCTGTCCAATTCTTTCTCTTATTTATGCGCAAACGTCTATATCTCTAAAACCGCAAGTTCGATTTGGAGGGGATTTAGGGATTAAACGTAAAATGAAATAGGCATCAATCTTATCAAATTCTATCTAATATTAAAAAAAAAATTCTTTCGCTTTCAGATCAGGAAATGTGTTGTTTGAAATGCCTATAGTTTGAAAACGGCGCATTCGATTTGGTACAAACTTGGAGAACAGTATAGAAAATACTTAGTATTAATTCCATTTAATAATAAAATAAAATAAATGATCGTTAACAATATAATGGCTGTGAAATGTGGAAGGCACTAATCATATGGAGTGGGAGTTAAGTTATTACAATATCGTTATGGGATTATAAAGTTTTAGGTTTTATTAAAAAAAATATTTATACTGTATTGTTTGGCCGATTCCAAACGTTACTGGCATGACACTTATGCTGCTCTTGTCCTAGCTGATATCACGACATCATCGGCGTAGGCTAAGTGCTGTGTCAGTCTATCATATGGTTCCATTTGAATTAGTCCGTTAGACGCGGATGGCATATTCAAGAGCGAGGTTGAAGAGAGTTGGGAAAAAAGAGGATCACCTTGTCTTAAGCCGCTATTTATTACAAAAGTGTCCTACAGCCGATGTACGTAGTCTACTACTATGAAAACTATCAGAGGGCAATAAAATATAAAATTATACTAATAAATCATAAAGAAATTATTCCTCTCCTGTGAAACATACCAGATACATATTAAGTATGCACTGTTTTTATTTTATTTTGTAATTACGAATTATCAAATTATATCCGCAAATGCGGAACTCGCAATTTAGTATTCGCTGATAAACAAACTCGTGGATATCAAGCCAGTATACGTTGAGAGATACTGAATTTCCGAAAACGGCTTCTTCTTAGTTTATATAGATTCTTCCTTTTTCTTTTAACGCAATTGCCGTTTTATATATATATATATATATATATATATATATATATATATATATATATATATATATATATATATATATATATATAAAGATGAAAAAAACAAAGGCGTGTACTTTAGACCACACGATAGAAGTGAAAACATCAACAAAACGAGATTAATAACATCACACATATAATCATATAATAACTCATTATAAAGAACATGAAATTCTGAACAATTTCCTCACTTACAGTTCTAATTTACCTGTTTTATACCTTAATTTCAATCTATCCAAAAAACATTTCAATTAGTTGATTCCAGCTGAGTTCACCCGAGCGTTACACATCGGAGATTTGACGGCTCAACAAATAAAGCCTCCCCCTCACCAGAATTTAATCCTGAATCCGCTACCGCAATGAGAAAATTATATCTGAGAAAATGTAAGCGAAGATATCAGAAAAAAATAGGTGTGGAGAGGAAGTTAAATTATTATATGATGGAATGGAACTTAAGATACTACACCTGTGTGTGTTTGATCTGTTGAGGACCAACTACACGCCTCGACTAAACAACCGACTGACCGTTATCCAAGCAATTTCTCAGGCCTGTCAACGGGATAGATAAACTGCATTAACTTATGCAATCCCCTCACAGTGTCACAGCCATTTCGATTAGCTTTATGTAAGGCAGTTTTGTATAAAAAGGAGATAATCCACCACATCTACATGGAGGGCTGTTAGATAATTACTTTAGTCTTACCTCAGTCAATTATTTATTCAAGGTGGATTACTAAGGGGTAAATTAGTTTTTTATGAGAAAAATATTCGCAGGAATTTGATGTCAACACTAATTACTTATATCAACTAAATTCTCAGTAACAAATGCAAACCTACGTTGAAAATCTGAAACCAGAGTCTTCTCCTTAAATTCAAGACCATATTAATGTACTAGTACTCTCTCATCCTCCAATCTTGCCTTTTCGACACATTTTTCTTAGTCTGGTAGGGCTCAGAAATCTCTTCCATTTTGTCCAAGTCTTGAACAAATATTTCAATGTTCACTGCTCGCGCCTTTGCAATATATTTAATAAACTTAATTAATAATTAAAATACTACTACTAAAGCTGATCCTCATCACAGTCATAGAACTGCATGGATGACTCTGCAGCAGAAGTACGCTGATAGTTGAGAAGATGGTGTAAATGTATGACACATACCTTGTTGGAGAGAATCAGAATGAAAAATTCCTTGGGAGGGTTAATGTCTTGGCTTGATGATGGATAAAAACGTGATAAAATTCGTATCAAAATACATTTTAAAAATTAAATGACAATTTATAAGGTATTGGAGCTTGAATAATTGTGTAACATGATTAATGAAAATAAATCGTCCGAACAAAATGTTAGCTAAGTTGCTAATTAGTTGGTTAGCTATAATTCGTGGTAAAGACATATTTTTATCGAATAATTAATATCCGCCTGAAACTTCGTAAATAGTTTCATCTTATCGTAACCTACAACTATTTTATTTCAGAAAACTCTTGAAATTGGGGCGTTTTCAATCTGGGGGAGGGGGAGCAAACTTTATCTATTTAATTAGGTGCTAAAAACTCGTAAATACTCATTTGCTTTCTACTTAGATAGTAAGATAATTTGATCACAAAATTGAGAAAAACGGTGGCCTTCGAAAATATTGATCCGTTTGGTTTGATCTACACCCTCAAATTTTCAAAATAACGAGGTTATAAACAGCCCAATATTTTTGCAGTGCAACTTTTTTTTTTCGATTTTGTGATCAAATTATCT